TGGGCCCTCTGGAAATCCGGCCTCCCATAGGGAGCACCTGCAGTCTGCCCGGCCTGATTTGCCTTCTCCTCCCCAGGTACTTCCGCTGCACACTTGGCTACATGGTAGCATCAGGCTGTCCTGAGCTTCAAATAGTTCCTAAAGTGGTGTAATCTTTCCACCCCATCCCCCACCACCTCAGTCCTCATGGCTAGGAAATCCTTGGGCTGGGAGTAAAATTTCACCCAGAATCTGCTGTAGTCTGATGACAAGTAGTTCTCAGTAGTACTGAGTGTTGAAGAAGAGGCGGGGCGGGGCTTGTTCTTTACTCTCTCTCCTTGAAGCTGCCCTTGCATCTCGGCAGTTCTCCTTTTTTCTCATTTAGCCTCATGCTTGTTCTTTTTCTTCCCTTGTGGGTCTTGTATCCCAGGCTGGCTTTGAACTCCTGACTTCTACCTGCTGTGACTACAGATTTACAGCTTAGAGCCTGGCTTCCATCTTTGTTATCTCCCACCCCCGCCCCCCTGCCCCCACTTTCCCTCCTCCTCCTCCCGCCCAGTACTAACAAGGTCTTTGTTTCTTGGGTGGGTCTGCACCTCTGGCACAACTTTGGCCAGACATTCTGTGCCAAAACTTTCCTGCAGAACACAGCCGAGGAGGAAGGGGGTCATCGAAGATGGCTGCAGCTGAAGCTGAGAAAGGCAGCCAGTCTACCCTGCTTCTGACGCGCTCGCTCGGTGTGCTTACCCCAGGAGTTGTAATTAAGTTCACCTCTAATTTGATAAGTGAGACTAGCCTGACATGTGAGAGAGTAATTAAGTCTCACCAAGAGCAGCAGGAAGCATCCCTGGGCCCCAGCATCTCCAGAATTCTCACTCTCATCAACATATTCAACATATTCTCTCTCTCTCTCTCTCTCTCTCTCTCTCTCTCTCTCTCTCTCTCTTCCCCCTCCTTCCTTCTCCCTTCTGATGCTACCCACTAATATGGAGGCAGAATGACCCTGACCCCTTAGACGCCCTCCTGCCCCAGTTCTCCCAGCCCTCACTACACGGCCGTGGCCATTCTACAGTACTTTAGACACAGCAGATGAATGTGCCACGGGAAGGTTGCACCTCCACTCCGCCTTCTTCAAACTCTGAGCTGGAAAGAAGTTGGCCTTAATGCTACCACTGTGTCCATTCTCTTAATGGAGTTAAGTCTAGCCCAAATCAGCCATCCTAGTGGGAAGTCTGAGGGACTAGGAAGAAGTCCTAGAGACAGAAACTAGAATGTTGGGTTTGTCGTGACACTATCTTCCTGGCTATGATCTCCCATAAATCATGCCACCTCCCGGAGGCTCTGGTTTCTTATCTGCAAAGTGGACTTAACATTCCCCTACCATACACAACCTGCTTCCCGTGGAAGATGAATGGGACAGATCGATTGTTAGAGCACGTGCGAATGAGCTGACGGTGGCAGCTCGCCAGAGGTGAAAAGTTCTTTGCTGCCTGAAGGGAACTCAGTCAGTCATCCAGCCCAAAATCTGTCATCCGGGTACATGAGTGGCTGAAATCACCTGTTCAAAGAGTGAGGTGTGTGGAAACCTTGTCAAAAGAGGAACCTGGGCTTTTAAACCTGACTCAGCCACCTCTGAATATCAAGAATAGTCAGGATATTTGTTGCTCTGTCAAAGCCAGGTGCCAAAGGAAAGATCTTAGACAGAGGAGGTGGCTTTAGCTCACTCAGTCTTCGGAAAATCTTTTTGAGCCCAGGAAAGACTTTCCCTGGTAATAAGCTCCTCATCACTAGCAGAGTTCAAGGCTGGAAGAAGCATCTTTTAGCTCTCCAAACTATGGTCCCTGGCCCTATTCTCGGATCTCACACTCTGCCTTCTGAAGCTGCACTATCCTTTAATGCCAGTGCATACCAGAAAGGCTCTCTGTGCTCTAGGGATGACTAGGTAATAGGTCCCAGACTCCCAGGGCTTCCCGGCTCTCTTAGTTCAAGCCCTTCAAGTAAAACTGAGACTATCTGCCCCAATCTCTATTCCTGTGCCTCTCGAGCTCCTGGAGGTGTGGGCCCTAGTGTTTCTAAAATCTGTCCTCTGAAATGCCCACTGGCCACAGTATCGGCCCTACAAAAGCAGGCTGCTGGCCACAAGGTGCATTCCTCCCAGAACTCAGTCTCCCTGGGAGCCATGCTCAGAATACCAAGGGGGTGGGGGTGGGGTGGGGGTGGGAGAGCTGGTTCGGGTGGCCTTACTCTGTGATTGTTACTATGCATGAGCTTAAAGATTCCTCTCACTGTTACATAATCGAGGTATTTTTTCCCCTCCTTATTTTAGATCCTGGTACCATCTGCCCTGCTTTTCACGCATCGTTGGCTCTGGGCTGGAGGTGAGCTCAGGCTTGGCCAGTCAGCTCTGTCCCTCAGGTGATGAGAGACTTGGGAAAGCCTGTTTCTTATCTGTAAAATAGATCTTGACCCCACCCTGCTTGCCTGCCTGCCAGGGCCACTGGGAAGATCAGGTGAGAGAAGGCATAACTGGTAACTGGCTATGTAACTACGTGTGTGTGGTACACAGCAGTCGTTACCTGGCTCCCACGCTGGGAGAGCCTGCTTGCTCACCTGTCCTAAGGAGATCGCTCACAGGTTTGCAAAGCAGGGTTGAAATACAGGAAGTGGGCAGGCCTCACAATAGGAGTCTCAAGACTCCCTGCCATAGGTGTCAGGGGTGGGGGTGGGAGTGGCATCCCTAGCAGCTTGTGACAGGCAGGGCCTGGCTGTACTGTCACCTTCTCACACAGCCCTGTGGCCTTGGTGTGGAATGCTAAGCTCAGCACATGTTGAGTATAATAGTCTTGCAAAAAACCTGTTTATTTCTAGCCATCAAAGAATGGGTTCATGCCTGCTGCGGCAGACCAGGGGACCCAGAGCCCAGCCTGAGTCATACAGCACCCCCACCCCTACCCCTGGCCACCCTTCGTACAAAGGTTTTGGCAGATGGGAGCTGATACATACTCCTAGACCCTCTCCCTACCTGAGAGGCCACAGGAAAGCAATCAGTAAGACAAAGAATGCTAGGCTCCTGGCTATACTGGTCAGCTTGGCAGTTATAACAACATGCCATCGGTGGAGGATTAAGCAACAAAATACAAAATACATGCTCACATAATTCTGGAGGATAGACATTCTGTCCCCACCCACTGATGCTAGGTGAGTCACTTTCCTCTACTGGGCCTCAGTTATATGACCTATAAAATGGGAGCAACCTGTGATCTGCCCACCTCACCTATCTCATAAAGATCAAAGGTAGTTCTGTGGACAAGCAGGCTGGTAGTTGCAGCAAGTGAGGGTTAAGTACGAGGTTTTGAATCACCATTGAGATTATTTGGAAAGAAAGTACCCTGGGCCTCTCTTTTCTGAGACAGGGTCTTACTACACAGTAAGACCAGGCAGGCTTGGAACTCACTATGTAGATCAGGCTGACCTTGAACTCACAGAGATCTGACTGCCTCTGCGTAGGAGGTGCTGGGGTTAAACAAGTGTGCTAACATGCCTGGCAACCTTGGGCTTTTCAGTTACTAGAATAAAGACTAACAATTAAGGCCAGCAAGACAGTCAACATAGTTGTAAATAAATCCTGACCAGGAAGTCCTCTTTTACAGTTTAAAATCTCAAGGTAGACTTTCTGGCACTCAGGTTATTGCCAAGCAGGACTCAAGTATGTGTCACCTCCAACCCCCTTCTGATTCCCAGTGACAGCCGGATGCCGGATGGACTGAGTTTAACTCCAAGCCACTTACACCCAATCTCTTTATTAAATGTGAATACAAATTCTCCCAAGGTGTAAAAGGCCACTGAAAGGCTCCAGCAGGAGGCAGGCTCTGCAGTACAAATGCATCCCCGCTAATAGGTAAACTGTGGGCCCTGGCTCCCTCTCTCCTCCCCTCCCAGGCCCTATCTGCCTTGCTCTGAAGGCAGGAGCTAGAACAGTGCACCTCTGTTTGAACCCAGAGGGTTAAAAGCCCAAACAGGCAGACTGAATTTGCTCTGTGGGACCCTCCTTGTCTCAGCACTGCCTGCACCCTGCTTTGGCTGTCCAGGTTCCTTTGCTTTCTCCTGACTTTGCTTCTCTCTTTGTTCCCAGGCAGTGTCCAAGTAGGTGGTCAAATACTCTTGGAAAGACCTCAAACCCTGAGTAGGCTCTAGCTGAGGAGGCAGGGCTCCCTCTAGTGGCAGTCCTACACTTTGCAACAAGATGCACAAACGTAAAGCTGGGCCTTAAATACCCAGCCCAAGACTTGCTGCCACCTGGAACACGGTGGTATTTGGTTTGGATCCTAATACCCAGACCCTGGGAAACCTCAGGGACAAGCAGCCTTCAAATTCGAAGGTTCCTTCCTTGATTGGCAACACAGGCTACCTAGCAGCGTCTCAGCTTAATTAAAAAGAAGTTCCCAATATGAAGAAGAGGTGACCACCCTGAAGTCTGTGGAGCAGGTGTGTGTGTGTGTGTGTGTGTGTGTGTGCGTGCGCGCTCGTGCGCATAAAACAACCAGGCATCTAGACCCGTTGCTGGGGAAGTACCTCGGTGCCCAGCCTCAGCACCACTGATCTGTCTGCAGCACCGAGCATAGCACCAATCCTGTCCTAGGCAAAACCATGCTACACTCTTAGCCAACCAGCATGTCCACCCAGACCTAACCCGAGACTTTAAAGAGAGTGTTGATATCTAAGCTGAAAATCTCTAGGTCTCCCACCCACCCACAGCCAGCTGAGAGTCACTGGCTGCCGGCCACCAGTCACACAGCGCCATGTATGCAGAGACACAGCACACAGTGGTCTCTGGTGTGACTGGCTCAGAAGATACAGAGTTGGTCAGAGGGTTGGTTCTGGAACTGATGGGTCCAAGTGTCTGTGGAACACAAATGTGATTCACTTTTGCCATAACACTAGTGGGACCCCTTGGACGCAGTGAAAGAGGTGTCTCGTACGTCCTCTGTGATCTTCAAATTCTTTGAAGCACACAAGAAAAAAAAAATTCTGTTCTGTTTACTGATGAGACTTACTTAAGGATCAAATGGGATACATAGTTTGAATAGATGTTTTGACTTGAAAATGATTTTGGATTCTAGTTAGTAATCTGTCTTTAATATAAAGATATTTCCCCACAAATATTCATATAAAATCAACTGGCGATAGATAGAAGCACCATATTGGCCCTGAGGTTTAGAGCCACCCACCTGTGCCCCCATATTTGTGAAGGCCCAAACCATTCACCACATTGAACACGTAAGGTTAAACTAGGTCTTCCTAAGACAGTGGATAACCCACAATGGCTAGTCAAAAGGTAACTGTATGAACTCCCTCCCCGCATCCTTCTCCCTCCCACCAGGTTCCCTGGTGGAGGCCGCAGGGACCTCTTCAGCTCTTCAGTGAATGTAGATCTTGTCAGAGATGGCTCCGGGAAAATGGGTCATGATCTGCATTCGCAGCCACCAGTAGTAGTCCATGGGATGATAGCGGGTATAAGGGGTGGTGGCGGTCAGGGCGTGTGTGACAGCGTTGATGACAGAGGACGTATCTGTGGAACCACTGTTGCAGTAGGTCTCCATCTTGGCAATCTTTTCATCGAAGTACTTCTTGCCATAGTCCTTGCGGACGATCTCAGGCAGATCATCCCACATCTTCTTGGCAATGGCCTGGATGCGCTCGGGGCTGTAGAGACTGGTGGCAGCTATGAAGTTGCCAGGCTCCACCACACTGACCTTCACACCCAGAGGGTGCATCTCATAGCGCAGGCAGTCTGAGAAAGCCTCCACCCCAAACTTGGTGATGCAGTAGGGTGAGCGGGCTGGGTTGGCCATGCGGCCCAGCATGCTGCTGATGTTAACCACGCGGCCTGTAGAAGACAGCAAACGGGGCCTTGTGACATGGAGGCCTGGCAGGGACAGCTTTAGAATCATCCAGAGTCCGGGGCCTTGGACCACCCAGCTAGTTAGTATTTCCAGTCTTCCTCAGGGATTCTGCTGTGCCCAACAGGACTAGGGACGGGTGTACAAGTGAGAAACAAGCCAGGGTACCGGCAGGGCACAGTGGATTAGGTACAACTAACTGATAACCAGCCAGAGCCTGTCTGGTGATAATACCACGGGGTAAAAACACTGGGAGCGTGTGGGAGATGAATGGCCATGTCCGTGTGGCCCTGTATATTCACTCTAAGGCCAAAGGTGCTACAAGCTGCACCCTGTTCATTCCTGTGCTGCCAAGACCTTGGGACAGCTCTGGGGATGTGGTCCCTCTTGCTGTTCCAGGAGGAAAATCAGATCTCACCTCATTAGAGGTGGCTTTGCTCACATGTGGCTATTTGGTATGATTTGGGCATTATGTCAGTTCTCCAAATTTCTAGTCTCATGTTTGAACTGAATAGCACAACGTCTCATTTTTTAGCTACGAAATGAATATGCTAACATCAAGTCACTACGGTCCATCTGTAAGCCCTGGGTGCACAGACCTTTGCCCAATCCTTTTTGTGTGTTTGTGAGACAGGGTCTTACTATGTAACTCAGACTGGCCTTAACTTCAAGATCTTCTTTGTCTCCTGAGTGCTGGGTTTACAGATGTGCACCACCATGCCCAGCTCATCCGCTCTGCTTCTGAAAGCTGCGGTCCCCTTTCCTACCTATGACTCTGAGACTCACTACTATAGATGTTGGCAGGCACAGGGAGGGGCGTGGGCACAAAGAATCTGTCTTCCCAACTCACCTTTGGCTCTTCGGAGAAGGGGAAGGAAGGATTTTGTCGTGCGCACCGTTCCCCAGAGGTTCACTTCGGCCACCTCCTTATACGTCTCCATGCTGGTGAACTCCACCTCCCCAAACGTTGAGATGCCTGCATTGTTAACCAGGCCCCACATTCCTGGACAGGAGAGGACACAACCAGTCACCATGTGGGCTCAAATCCCAAACGCCAGCCTGCCTCCCTCTACCGTGATCTCTTTCTTCCATGACTTCCAGCCTCTTACCCAAGGCTCTCAGGAAACATTTCTAGAGTCAACCAAGGACAAAAAGAGAGAGACCCCCACACCCTGGCTGATACGATTCCTTAGATGGAATATCCAGGTTTCATGTTATCAGTGCCTGCATCCATCGGTTCTCAGCCTTTCATGACCGAGCCTTGTAGATCTCTGCCTATGTCTTACTTCACTCCAGCACTATTCTGGTTGGTTGTTGTCAAACCTAAACATATCTGGTGATATTAATTGGAATAGCGTCTTCATAAGGCCAGTAGGCAAATCTATAGGGCATTTTCTATTTGGAGGGGCCCAGACCATCATGGATGATACAGTGTCTTGCCAGGTGGATCTCAGGTGTCTAAGGAAACAAATTGAGCAAGCCAGTAAGCAGCATTCCTCCATGGCTTCTGCTTCTGTTCTTGCCTTTGAGTTTCTGATCCTGCTTTGAGTTTCTACCCTGACCTCCTTGAGTGATGAACAGTAATATGGAAGTGTAAACCAAATAAACCCTTTCTTCCCAATGTGCTCTTAGTCATGGTGTTTATCACAGCAACAGAAGAGTAATGAAGACAGGCTTCCCCCTTCCTCCACACGACCAAAAGTCCACAGCCTGCACCTATCCACTCAATTCAGCTATTGTTTCCATCGGCCCTCTTGCCAGCAGCCAGGGAAAACCTCAGGAATTTTCCAAGCCAGGGTCACAGGCGGCCACAAAACTTCAAGGTCACCCACTAAGTTACAGCCTCTGCTGCCAAGCCTCGTTCATAATCAGGCCCCACCTCACTCCACCTTGGAACTCTTACCAATTCTCTCTTCTCCCATGTCCCTACTCTGAGCATGTTGCTGTTTGCTGATGGTCACGTGTTTAAGGGCCCATGACTCAGGAGCCTCAGTGTCTCTCTTCTTCCCCTCTCTGGGGGACTGTGTAAAGATACAGGCTCCGAGGAGATGAGGAGATGCCTATTCTCAGAGCATGGTCCAGTTGACTGTTTTATAACAAGAGCAACTAAGGGACAGCTGGCTTTTGTAGGCTCAGACAACATTGGCTCTGGAAACTTCTTGGAGTTTATTTTGTCTGTTAACAGTGCAGCAAGGGAAACCAAAGTCATCAAGGGAGAAGACAGATTTAAGTCTCATCATTAGGTTAGAGGCAGAGCTGAACCCGAGCCAAGAGAACACTAGTCTTTTTTCAGGGTTTGTTTTGAGTTCAGTTTTGGGGTGTAAGAAGTGTTAGTATTCTGTCTAAACTCAACCCCCACAGTTATCTGGCAACACCCAGGTATGCTCCTCCCCACAGTTACCTGGCAACGGCCAGGTAGGCCTGCCCACTATAAAAGGGGCTGCTTGCCTCCTCCTCTCTTTCTTACTCTCTTACTCTCTTGCCTCTAGCTTCTCTCTGTCCCCTCGCCCTTCCCCCCTTCCCTTCCCCCTCTCTCTACGTGGTCATGGCCTGCCTCTACTTCTCCTCTTTTCTCCGCCATCTTCCTCTATCTCTCTCCCCCCACCTTTGCCCTTTGCCCTTTGCCCAAAATAACGCCCCCCCCCCCGAACTGTTTGGTCTGGTGTTGTCTGTTCTAAGCTGCACTCCGAAGTCTAACATTGGTGCATTGGCCTGGATGGGCCAGAGCCTTAGGGCACAGCAGGGGCTCCTCAGACTTTGATCTCTGTAGGGCTTTGTCTCCTGTCACTAAAAGCCCTGTGCTCCTTGCAGGGACTTCAGACATGATATCTGCTTGCCGCCTGTGAGAATGGAGGCCCTGGTCTCACTTTCCCAGTGCATCATGGGAATGAGTTTGTATAAATGACAGAGCGATTGGTCTCCAGTTGCTTTCCTTTAGTCTTGCCCAAATTAAAGCTTGGTCAGCTGACCTCTGGTGGCTTCTTCAATTATGGGGAATTAAGGGCATTTATGAAGGAAAGGAAGTTGTTAGTTGACTATGCATCCAAAGAGTACCCTCCTCCCACCAGCTGCCTGTTGGAGCTTCCTGTCCTCAGCTCAGGCTGTGACCCTCAGACACAATCCACGCAATCAGAAGCATCCGAGAAACTCCACTGCTCCCAAGTCTGTCTCCTGACTTCCCTCCTGGAGCCTAAAGCCTCTTTAGCCACCTTGGCTAACCTTTCAATCTGTGCCTTTCCAACCATAGCTATCAGTCCTTCCTTCCCTCCTTTTAAGACAATGCAACCTCTCCTGTGACAGGCCACCTGTCAACCCTGTCTGCATTAGGAACTCAATGTATGTGCATTGGGTGGAGAATGACTGAAACATCACACCTCTGTGTCCTTAAGAGCCTTCTTTGAGCTGGGCAGTGGTGGTCCACACCTTTAATCCCAGCACTCAGGAGGCAGAGACCGATGGATCTCTGAGTTTGAGGCCAGCCTGATCTACAAAGTGAGTCAGTTCCAGGTAGGTCAGGGATACACAGAGAAACCCTGTCTTAAAAAAACAAAACAAAAAACAAAAGAACAACAACAAAAGAGCCTTCTTTCAACCATGCCCTGTGCTCCTGCAGCTTGTGGCTGGGCTCCGAGACCATTGCCCTGTACCTTTCTACCCTCTGAGACCATCCCCAAGCCTCTGAGACCATGCTCCCAGCCCCCAACTCCCGTCTCCCCACTACCACCGTGGACTGCAATCTCCACCCAAATGCTCACCATGTTCTCCTATGGCTTCCATGAGGCCACCAACTAAGCCCTGCAACATTTCCACTCTCTTCTTAGACATCACCCACTAATGTCCCATGGACACCAGCTTCCCCAGGTGTTAGCGGCACCAGCATCCCCAGTGCCGACTTAACACTTTGTTCTACCCGCCTTCACCCCTAGCAGACACACCCAACGTCCTGTCCTTGTCCTGGCTCCCCTGAATGTTACCACCATCTCCTCTTCATGTTTGTGGAATTTTCCCTTGGCTCTGTTTGACTCAGGTGGGACAGTCTCACACGACCTAAAACGTCTGTGTGCACGCCCTGCCTAAAAATCAGACAGTTTTATCCGGCAGTGCGATTCAATAAAGATTAATTACGAGTGACCTGTGTGAGTACATGGCATGATAGGCCTGCTGGCCTGACAAGTTGTGGGGACTGACCTAGTCGCTCTCCAGAATCCTCAGCCAGTTGCTGTTCTAGACAAACTCCAAGCGCACTCCCGCCGGCCTAGAAGGCAGCCACTTTCCCAGAATGGCCTCAGCCTTACCTCCATGTCCAGACAACTCCATGTACCCTTGGGAGACATGGACCCACAACACCTTCTCCTACAGTCCCTTCCATCTGAGTTTCACAGTCCTAACCCTAACCACAGCTAACACATTGAGCCTCCGAGTTTGGTCTGTTCTCTTAGAGGCATCTCATCCAACTCCGTCACTTCTTCCGATCCAGTGTGTCACCCAGGGCTAGAAAGATGACTGGTGGTCAGAGTGACTGCTACCAGGTCCTGGGGTGGCATTTGTTGATGTCATCTGACTCTCATAACTAATTCACACAGTAGATGCTAATCCAGGCCATAACTGAATAGGCCAGCTGAGGCTCAGAGTGGATAAGCCTGTGCTCCTGTCACTAGCGACCAGGTGAGGAAGTGATTTGGATCCAGCTCCGAGAACAAGCCGTCATGCTTAGGCCCACAGAGTTGTCGGTTTCCTTTGCTGTGGTAAAGAACCAGTTCTGTTTCCTCCTGTATTAACTTGGGTCCTGGTTTACCTCTCCTGTGCTGTCAGAGAAGACCCCCCCAGGTCTCCCTGCCTCAAGTCTCTGCACCTGAAGCCAGGCTAATCTTTCTCCTTCCAGTCCCTCCCATTTCGATGTCCCCCTGTCTTGACAGTGGTAAGGTCCAGGGATAGCTACAAGTACTTTTCCATTTCACAAATAGGCAAGCTGAGACCAACACCCAAATCACACTTCTCTGGAGAGATCTAACCCTGGGTTAAATCTAGTCTTCCTGCACCCAGGTCGACGGATGTCCCTGATATTAGCTTCCCACAGCCCAGTGCCCCTGGGTTGTCTAACTGCTTTAGGTGACACTAGGTTGGTGTTTGATTCCAAGCTCCTCCTGCAAGGTCAGAGCCTAACAAGCACCAAGCCCAGTCTCAAGCATACAGCAGGGACTCAATAAGTGCTTACTGATGGGTAAATAATGGTACAAGGTCAGGCCACACCCACAGCCGGTCTGCATGTGTGTGCTGGTTTTCCTGGAGTGGGGAGGGCTGGTCATAGACTTCAGATGTCCAGTCCCTAAGAATCCTTCAAAGCGGGGCGGGGTTGGGGGGAGACTAATGGAATACGGCTGGACACTCTAAGCAGAGTCCCCCTGACATCAGCACCTCAGGGTGGCTTCCCACACTTTGGTTGTGACTGTTCTATGAACCCAGAGTAACAATCAGCACCAAAATGTGCCCACAAGGACCCAAGATAGAAGCACACTCGTCATAACCCTGTCTTGGTAGGATGTTAAGCCAGGCAGTGGTGGTGCACGCCTTTAATCCCAGCACTTGGGAGGCAGAGGCAGGTGGATTTCTGAGTTCGAGGCCAGCCTGGTCTACAAAGTGAGTTCCAGGACAGCCAGGGCTACACAGAGAAACCCTGTCTTGAAAAACCAGACCAAACCAAACCATACCAGACCAGGCCAGACCAAAACAAAACAAAACAAAACAAAACAAAACAAAACAAAACAAAACAAAACTGCTGTGGGGAGCTCTGGAAGGGCGCCACCTGGAGGTCAGAGTCAGAACTGCTCAGCAGGAGGCGTTGCTCTTTTGCCTGGAAAAAGACATCCAGGGCCAGAAGGGAGGTAGGGAAAGACTGCAGAGAAGTGACCATGCTTTCTGATTGTTTTATCTTCTATTTTGGAACCTGAAAATTCCAAATCTCCAGCCCCCCCAAACTGCAGAATGGTGAAGGGGGGTTACGGTGGGTGGAGGAACGGGGACCATGGATCCCAGCTGGGCTCCATTCTGTCCATCATAAGTGCCACAGCTGTGATTCCAGGCTTTTTTGTGCCTCTGCCTTCTCTGCTATGTGAAGACAACACCCTAGCTGCCCCAGAGGCTGTTGGGAGAAAGGGTGACAGGCTATGTGGCTGGTAATCATCCCATTGGGACCTGGCCCGCCTTTTCTTGATGGACCAGGAACACCAACTATCCCTGTTTAGCAGATGCTCAGTGGGTCTACAACACACAGGCTGCTCCTGGAAAACACGGGACCCTAGCATGGTCTCTAGGAGGGCAGGTGGTGCCACTGAACAGCTCTTCACAGCTAGCTAGCCCCACAGCAAAAGCCCTTCCTGGAGACGGCAGCATTTTTTCAGCCTGGCAGTTTTGGTCAGTCACACCACACAGGTGCTGGTCCCTTGGCTTCTTCACGGGACTCCATCCTGCAGCTGTGCAGCTGAGGCAAGCCCCCTTTTCCCTGGCCTACCAAGAAGCTCTAAGATCAACAACACAGACGGGCTCTTCCACAGAGCCTGCTGTGTGGCCCAACTCCATGCTTCTGGGTTCCACTTAAGTGGCACCCCTCAAACTGAGGTCCTGCACACAGGCTAAACTGGGAGGACATAGATGCTTAGGCCTCAGGGAGCCTCTGCAATGTTGACCTTTTGACTATAGGCTCTCCAAACTTTCTGAGCCTTTAGCTTTGAGGCATTCTATCCAACTCCTGTGGGTCTGTCTCCATCCTCCCTGGGTCCTAACTGCTTGTATCCCCTCTGGACATTCCCCCCATGTCTTCTCACCCCTCACCTTGCTCTTAAAGTTGAGGGCACCAGTTATGTAAGACAGGCACCTCTTGCCTCTTCTTCATCTCCACATCAAGACACTCAGTTTTGTCCTCTCAGCACTGCTAGCGAACTCTGCCAACGGCCATGTTCATGGCACACCACCCACATTCTCCTTTAATCTGCCTTTCCCCACTGCAGGCTTCAGAAAGAGCTTCATAAATCCAGTCGGGCCTCAGGACAGCCCCTTCATTCTCCAGTGCCTTCCACAAAGCGACAGTCCCCTGCCTCATTGGCTCTGGCCACCAAATCAACCGTTGGCCTCACCCCAGCACACCACGGGCTGCTTCCTGTCATTGCTCAAGCTCTGCCCTCCTTCCGGCATGACCTCCCTAGCTCTCCTCCTAGCACCATCCCTGCCACACCCCAGCACTGGACTCAGCCTCTCCCCTCTGCTCAGCCTCTATCTGTGCCCTGCTCCCAGATGGTGAAATTAACTCACTTACTGAACTGTAAGGTCCTCGGGGACAGAGAGTGCCTCGACTGTCATTGTGTTCCCACCAGTGTCCAGTGCCTGGCCCAGAGTGGGCATCCAAAGAGCACTGGATGAACTGGCCTGAACCAGTATGTCCATCTGTCACTCTACAGATTTCAGACTTGCTTCCAGCCATATTTTACTGCCCTATTGCACAGGCATGTTTAACTTAATCCACTTCCTCTCACTGAGCAGGAGGAAGAGTTTAACAATGAAGAAAGGAGCCTTTTGCCAGGTTGCCAGGAAGTGGAGGGCAGCATTGAGCAGGAACTGTACAATAGGCTCACAGATGAAGCCCGCAGTCTCACGGTGCCCTTACCCTTCTCAGGATCCTTCAGGCTGGAGCGGATGGTCTCCACCGCTTTCTCTATCTCTTCATTGTTGCAGACGTTGAGCTGGATGGTTCTCAATCGGTCACTCTTCAAGCTGTCCAGTTCCTTGACCCCGGCATCACCTTTGTCCTGGGGGGAGACAGGGCTGCAGTCACCTCTGTCTGTCCCTCCCCAGGCTCTGGATTTAGAATCCAGCCCAATAGGGACTGACTCCAATCCCTTGCAAAGCCTGAGGCTTGCACCGATACATGCATGTGGTTGTTCACAGTAACATATTCAAAATAGCCATAAGCTAACCAGTTTTTTTTTAAATAAATATCCTGAATGAAAGCTTATCTTCATTTTTATGAAAGTTTTTAAAATGCAGTTTGGCTGGAAAGATGGCTCAGCAGTTAAACGTGCTTGCTCCTCCTGCGGAGGACTGGCACTCAGTTCCCTTCACTTACATAGTGGCTCACAACCATTTCTGTAACTCCAGTTCCAGGGGATCTGACGCCCTCTTCTGGCCTCTGGAGGAAGCAGGCACACATATGATATACATATATGCAGGCAAAACATTCATATACATAAAAAACTAAAGATTTTACCTAGTTTATCTAGGGCACACATGAGCAAATTACTGTACTATATCCATATGATCAAGTAATAATCAGAAAAATGAGTTATGGCATGTACTGCAATCTAGAGGACTCTCAAAAACATGCTAAGGCCAGGTGTGGTGGGGCGTGCCTTAATCCCAGCACTTGGAAGGCAGAAACAAATGGATCTCTGTGAGTTCCAGGCCAGCCAGAGCTGCACAGTGAGACTCTGTCTAAAAACAAACAAACACTGTGCTTTGTGAAAGATACAGTAAAAAGACCCAGCATCCCTGAGTTTAATGTGAGCAACATCCAGAGAAGGCTAGTTTAGGGGGATGGAAATAAGTGGCTGCCCGGAGCTTGACGGGTGTGTGCGGGTGGGGATGGGGCAGTAACTGAGAAGACCCAAAAGGGAAAACTCTGAGACACAGAAAGTTTCTAAAAGTAAACGGTAGAGGCTGTGTCAGTCTCTGAACTGGGGACGGTCCCCTAGTTACATGCAGTTTCATGCCCTACTACTTCCTCCTTTCATGTGCCCTAAATGCCACTCGATGTCCCGAGGCAGCTAGCTCTACACTTCCCAGGCTATGCTTGGGCTGTCCCTTCTGTCTGTCAGGTCATCTCTCCCAGTCTCCATCTAAGACAGCATAACTTATTCCACAGCTCTGAACAAATGTCTCCTCTGTCAAGTCAATCTCTTCTCTGGACTCCCCCTGAGCATCCTTAACATGTTTGAGAATTTTATCCCAGTTCTTCAGCTGTGTCTAAGCATGGAGTCCTCTCACCACTGGATAGAGATCGCCTTGGGTGTGCTGGCTAGTTTTATGTCAACTTGACCCAAGCTAGAGTCATCTGAGAAGAGGGAATCCCAACTGAGAAAATGTCTCCAAAAGGTTAAGCTATAGGCAAGTTTATAGGGCATTTTTAAAATTAGTGATTGATATGGGAAGGCCCACCCATCAGGGGTGATACCACTCCTGGGCTGGTGGCCTTGGGTTTTATAATAATAATAATAATAATAATAACAATAACAATAATAAAAAGCAGGCTGAGCAAGCCAGGGGGAGCAAGCCAGTAAACAGCACTCCTCCATGGCCTCTGCATCAGCTCCTGCCTCCTGGTTCCTACCCTCTTTGAGTTCCTGCCTTTCTGGCCTTCTACAGAGCTGTGATACAGAAGTGTAAGCAAAATAAATGCTTTGCTTCATAACTTGCTTTTGGTCACAGTTTTTATCACAGCAATGGTAACCCTAACTAAGACACTGGGACCAGTCTTATTCCGTAGCATCTAGCAAAGTGCCAGGCCCATCAATATCATTTGACAAGTGGATAAATGGCAGAGGAATGGATGGATGGGCATGAGGACTGGTGGATGGATGGACGGATGGATGGATGGATGGATGGATGGATGGATGGATGGGTGGATGGATGGATGGATGGATGGGTGGGTGGATGGATGGGTAGATGGGTGGGTGGATGGATGGATGGGTGTCGGACACTGCTTGTGCCTAGGGATTGCAGGCAGGCGTGCTAGCGTGAGCAGAAGAGCCACAAGACCCGGGAGAGAGGCGGGAGGGACCACCGCAGGGCACGGGGGGGGGGGGGGGGGCCCGCGGGGGCGGGGGCTGGTGGGGCGGCAGAGGCTGTCACGGGCTGCCCCGGCAGGAAGAGGCGCTGCGGTGGGCATCCATTCCAGGCCGGGCCGCAGGGGCGGGCGGATGGACTCTGGGGTTGGGGCGTGGAAGACGCCGGCTGAGCCGGCTGGGGGCCTTCGGCAGCCCAAAGGCGGGGGTGGGAGCAACAGTGATGAAGGAGAGCGCAGCTGTCGTTTTTCCAGTTGCACGGAGTAGGACCTCCACCCCAGCCTCCAAATGCAGGAGAATGTTACCGGCTCTTTCAGTTCTCTCTTTCTGGGGATAGCTCGTGAGAGCCCACGGAAGAAAAGTGTTACAGCTCTCAGTTTGCTCTTCCCGCTGAGAGAAGAGGAGAGTTGTCCTTTGAAATGCGCAAGATAGCCGGGCGACTCAGGAAAGCACTCTGACAGCGGGAGATCTTACACCACACAGCAGCAGCCGCTTTTTACTTTTAGCTCTGGGGTTATATATACCGTTTGGGGGGTGGGGAGAGAACAGGTAACCTCTATTGGTTTGGCTTGAGGGCTTGGGGATGCCTTATTTGCATGGAGGTGTTATCCTATGTGATAAGGGCTATGGGATGGGCCTCTTTGTGGGAAGCGGAAGCTAAGAGGGCCATATGGCCTGGGAAATCTGAAGCAACCTCCCGTCCTGCTGACCCTTTTCAGGCTGAGGTCTCCGGGGCTTCAAAGATTTCTACCAAGCTTTCTGGCTTTCTCATAGCCTACTGCCCCACAGATGGGTGGATGGATGGATGGATGGATGGATAGGTGGATGGATGGATGGATGGATGGATGGATGGATGGATGGATGAGTGGGTGAGTAGGTGGGTGGATAGATGGATAGATGGATGGGTGGATGGATGGATGGATGAGTGGGTGGGTGGATAGATGGATAGATGGATGGGTAGATGGATGGATGGGTGGATGGATGCATGTGTGCACGCAGCAAAAAGCTATGTAGAGCAAATGAAACTAAAGTGGGAAATGGGAAAGTGTAGGCTGTTTTAACAACACACAAATTTGGGGGGGGGACAGACAGACAGACAGACAGACTGCTTGGACAAGGGTAAAGAAAACAGCCCAGTCTTACCTTCATCAAACAGCCAGCAAATACAAGGAAACCTTTCGAGTGCAGATGCTTGGCCAATGAGAACCCAAATCCAGAGTCACAGCCTGTAATCAGGATGGCTTTGCCGCTAGCCTGTTTTAGAGGTTTAGACCCACGTTAGGAACCAGGCTCCTTCAGTAGAGCAGCCAGCCCTCCCCAGCGCTCTGGGCGGCCAAGCCTCACCTTCCTAGCTGGCTCTAACAGTCTAGAGAACTATAAGCACCAAGGTATACTGAGACCCCAACCTAGAGTCTGCTGCCAACAAGACTGGCTGGGGAAGACTCCTGCCCTTGGCTCAGTGTTCCCATCTACAGCTTCCACAGTGCTCGCTGTCCCTGTCATCTTCATCCAAGCCAGGCTCATGCAGCACACTTCCTGAGTGTAAGGTGCTCTGTTCACCTCACCCCCACCCCAAACCATAACCCACAGATCGTGGTTCTCAACCTTCCGAATGCTATGACCCTTTAACAACACAGTTCCTCCTGTTGTGGCGATCCCTAACCATAAAACTATTTTCATTGCTACTTCATAACTATAATTTTGCGAGTGTTATGAATGGTAATGTAAATATCTGTGTTTTCTGATGGTCTTAGGAGACTCCTGTGAAAGGGTTGTTCAACCCTGCCCCTCCAAGGGGTCGTGACCCACAGGTTGAGAACCACTGCCTTAAGAGCAAGTGTGATTATTTCATGTCACCAGTGAGGAAATAGAGATGCTTTTGAAATGCCCAATGCAATTAATGATAGGGCTAGAACCCGGGTGGGGCTGAGAATCCCCAGAGTCTCACTCTGAACCCCCAGCTCTCTCCTTCCCGGCAGGCTTTTCCCAAGCTCCCTGGCTGGGAGGGATAGAGTATTTCACTATTGCTCCCCTATGCATGGGGACAGGGTCTCCCTACTGATGGAGAGCCTCAAAGAGTTAAGGAGATGTGGTTCAGAATGTCCTGACCACCTAAGGCCCCAAAGGCTCCCAGGGAGCTAGCTGCCACTCACCGCATCAGCCTGACTGGCGTATGTCCGACGGGTGTCAGGGCTGAAGGATGCTGGGTAAAACAACAGTGTGTGTCTGTAAGAAAACAGGAAGCCATGAATGCAAGGCCCTGGTCCCTCCCCAGACCCCACTCCTGGGTAGAAATACCTTGGAACGCCTTCAACCGCCATCTAGGCTAAGGTAGCTCTGACTTTCTCCCCACCCAGGAGACTGCTCCTGCTGCATATAGACCCCTCCCCTCTTCCACAATGAGCCAGGCAGGCCACCAGCGATTACAGCAGCCATCTCGGCCACTATAGGAAGATACTTTCCTGAGAAGAAAGCCAACCCAAAGGCTACTTTTCTTAGAGGCTGTGCCAAAACCTGACTGGCTCTTGGCCTGCCCCAGAAAGGTTCACTTTCTGCTTTCCAGGGTACACAGATGGCCAGCGCTCCAGGGTAATCAAAGTGTGCATACGCTTTCAGAAAACAACCTTCTGCAGGATGCTGAGATGACTTAGTAAGTAAAGGTTATTGCTGCCAAGCCTGCCAGCCTGAGAGTCATCACTGGAACCCAGGGGATGTTAGGAGAGAGCTCTGATTCCTGCAGGTTGTCCTCTGACCTCCACAGGTACAGACACACATAGACACACAGACACACACACACACACACACTAAAAGTAAAGCCTTCTGTAATTTCAGTGTTTTAACTCTCCCTAAGCTTCCTGATAATTGTTTTTAAGCTTTGTATTTAGGGATAATTACAGATATACACACTGTTAAAAAACAACACATAGGGGCTGGAGAGATGGCTCAGAGGTTAAGAGCACTGACTGCTCTTCCAGAGGTCCTGAGTTCAATTCCCAGCAACCACATGGTGGCTCACAACCATCTGTAATGGGATCTGATGCCCTCTTCTGTTGTCTGAAAACAGTGACAGTGTATGTGCACACATATAATAAATAAATAAATCTAGAAGAAGAAGAAGAGGAGGAGGAGGAGGAGGAAATAATGCACAGAGCCCTGCCTCATGGAGGCATCTGCCCTGGGAAGCTGCATCAGGAGGATCACGAGTTCAAGGTCATCCTGGGCGACTTGGTGAGAGCATACCTTATCATAAAAAGTAAAAATAGGGTTGTGGATACAGTTCAGTGGTCACATGCTTTCCTATCACAGGCAAAATCCTAGGTTCAGTCCCCAGTACTAGAAAAAGAGGGGAGAGGGCAGGGAGAGGAGAGGGGACGAAAGAGGAGAGTGGAGGGTTGGAGAAAGGGAAGAGAAGAGAAAAGGGGAAAAAAGCAAGTAAGCAGGACACATTGGCTATCACTTGCCCAATGTCCATTAATGGCAGCATTGCCCAGTGTGCAGCACCATAGCCAGGACACTGACGAAGAGTCAGCTACAGCGCAGAGCCACTTCATCCGTCTTTCTCTTTACCCTTCTCAGAGCTACCCACACCCTACCACTACCACCATCATTTCAACAATGTGAGGCCAGGCATGGCGGCTTAATCTGTAATCCCAGCACTCGGGGGGCTGCTGCAGGACGACCACTGGAAGTTCTAAGCCAACTTGGACCACAAAGTAAAATTCTGTCTCAAAAACTACAAAACAGAAACCACAAAGAGAATGTTATAAAATGGATCATACAGTGCATAGCCGGCTGCACCTGGCTTTCTACACCCAGCTTTGCTCTCTGGAAACTCATCCAAATAGTTGGATACAAGCTTTCCTTTTTTGTGTCTAAGTCAGGCTCTCTAACTTAGGCTATTGTATAACTGTTTACTTTCTGAAGGTCATCTGGGTTGTTTCCAGTTTGGATTTATTATGAACAAAGCTGCTATGAAGATTCCTGGGCAGGATTTTGTATAAACATATTTCTCTTGGATAAACTCCCAGGAATACAATCATTGGGTCGTATGGTAGGTGCCTATTTTGTTTGTAAAGAAACTGGGGAGCTGTTTACAGCTCTAGAGTACGGGATGCATGCTGCATGCCCAGCAGAGATGTATGAGGTCCCAGCATCTCCACACGCTTCCCAGAATCTGATACTTTTAGTAGCGAGAGGGAGTCCGATCCCCTGGAACTGGAGTTACAGTTGTGAGCTGCCATGTGGGTACTGGAAATTGAACCCCGGTCCTTTGGAAGGAAGAACAGCCAATGTTCTTAACCACTGAGCCATTTCTCCAGCCCCCTACTTTAAAATTTTTATTTATTTGTTATTATGGATTTTTCAGACAGAGCCTCATGTAAGGCAGGGTAGCATGGAACTTTTTATATAGACCAAACTGCCTAGCATCCTCCTGTCTCAGCATCCCAAGTGGTGTGATTACAAGCATATGATTTCACGCCTGGCCCCTGCTTTTTTTTTGGCCATGTTGGAAACCATTCGTGACCATCTCGCCATGGTTTTACTTTTCAATTCTCTAAGAGCTACTGATGTTTATCACCCATCTCAGGCCAGATGGCTAATAAATAACACAGTAGGGGTGACTGATAAGCAACACAGAGGTTTAGGAAGGGGGAAAAACTAACAGTTCTACAAGCTGGGAAGCTGAACTTCAAGGTGGTGGCAGGCGTGGGGGCCTACCTCCTAGGCTGACAATTTTTACTGTGACTTTACTTAGCAGGAGAGGATGGTGGGGGTGTCTTAGACCTCTGTCACAAAGCCCCTAACCCACTGATGAAGGTGGCTTCATGACCTAACACCTAAGACCAGCTTGGTATGGTTGCTTTGAATTGTCAACTTGAAAGGATTTGGAGATGCTCCGTCTGTGAAGGCACTTCCGGAAGGATTCACTTAGGGTGGGAGAGCCACCCTCACTGGCTGCAACACCTAAAGGAGGGCTCATATGCAAAGAAGCCCAAGGGAGAGCTGCTCGCCTACCCTTGCTTCTTCCTGAGCTGTGTGCACTACTGCTCTCCGACTCCAGCTCCCTCTGCCTTCCAGTGACGATCCCGGGATCTTCCAGGCCCCTGGCACTGGTTTGATACTTTGGAGCATCTGCTGGGGTCCCTGGCTCTCCGGCGTGTACACAGGCTTTGTTGGGACCGGCCAGCCTCTACTGTTTAAGCCAATCTAATGCACCCCTTTAAAAGCCCTCCTTCTCAATTCCTCTAGAGAACCACAATACACCAGTGCCACGGGGAGCAGGATTTCAGCATACACATTAGTTACACAAGCATTCAGACCACAGCCCGGGGCACATCCATCCTGTGTCTGTCCACGTTCTGTGCGGATACTTTCTTCTTGCACTGCTGAATTTTGAAAATCCTTCAGATGCTTTAGAAGCTTTTGCTACCCAGGTAGCCTAGAAATCTTTTCTGCCCGCCTAGAACATCCATCCTCCTTTCTGTTTTTTCCAGCATAATATTTGTATTGACTCTTTGGGAATTTCACATCGTGCACTCTGATCACACTCAATTTCCCAGTCCTTCTGTGTCCACTCCAAAAAGAAAATAAAAAATTAAAATTAAAAAGCAAAACAAAACAACAACAAAGCAAATCCAATTTATGCTATCTATGTGCTCACTGGAGCTTGGTCAAACTCTTCAGTGTCCTGTCCAGAATGTGGTGGCACTGGGCTCTACCATCATCATCTAACTGTCCAGTGGTACAGTTTTACGTTTCCAGAGAACTCAGAGCCCCAAACCCTCTGCGCCCAACCCGGAGAGGCAGAGCCCTACAGAGGGGTGATTCAGCCCCTGTCGGGCACAGGACAGCTCCAGCTGGCATGAGTGTCCTGCTAGGCTCTGCCTGGCTGTCGGCCATCTCTCACCACTGAAAGCCATGCTTCATCTGCTCTGATTTCAATGTTCTCAGTCTTGCTAGGCTGCCCACACCTGTGTGAGATCCCGGGCCGGGGGCTGCTTCTCGGTGTGGAGGGGCCATTGCTCATAAACAATTAAAGCAGGGTGAGGCAGACGGAAACAGAGCCACTCTATACCAAGGACCCATGGCAGACACCACAGCTGATTTGAACACTTGCAACTCGAGGCCACATAGGACAGGCCTTCCAGGATGACAGAGACATCCATGCTGGCTTCAGCCCTTTCTTACCAGTCAGGCTTCTATCTGGTATTGCTTCCATCACTGACCAGCATCAGTAACCAGTAACTGAACTGGTTTCCACCAGAGGAGCCACAAGTGAAGTGGGCTCAATCTAGTTAAGATTGGGTTAGAAGACTGACCCAAGTGCAGCTTGGGTGAAGTAGAGTCTCGCAATGGCCTCTAGAGGAAAAAATTCAGTAATAATCTCCAGCCACTCCTGGGGAAGTTCTCATCTGTATGTATCCCATGACACCACTCTGAGGCCGGTGACCAGCAGTGGCTGTGCTGCCGAGGCATTTCACTCTTAAGAAGGAGCACAGGGCAAGAAAAGGCCACTCAGGAGGAGCCATATAGATGGAATAAAAACGACAAGCAGAGGGGGAACGCATGGCACGGCCTCCAAAGAGAGACGTGACTGTGACGGAGATGGACGCAGGAACAAAGGGTACCATTCACAGGAGAATCGTTTCTAATTACTGTAAAGAAAGACTGGCCGGTTGGTGGTGGCACACTCCTTTAATCCCAGTACTTAGGAGGCAGCGGCAGGCAGATTTCTGAGTTCGAGAGTTCGAGGCTAGCCTGGTCTACAGCATGAGTTCCAGGACAGCCAGGGCTACACAGAGAAACCCTGTCTCGAAAAAAAAAAAAAAAAAGAAAGACTGTATAGAGAACTGTCCAAAGACACAAGGCTTCCGGCCAATGGACGCATTCACATGCATCAGGGCTGGAGGGCACTGGTCAAGGCTGCTAAACCAGTAGTAGTCACTGGCAGGGACAACTAGAGCATGAAACCCTGGGCAACTGAGACTCGGGTAAACTGACCAGGGCAAAGATTTTCCCCATACAGATCTTGCACAGGTTACCCCATATGCCAGCCTCTCTTCGCACCTGCTGTCCCTCTCAGCCTCTACTGATTACATGTCCTCCACTGCCCTAGGGACATTTAATTCATTCTGGTTCAACTGGTCTCTCCCACCCCCAATACACACTGTGCCCCTTGCAATTATCAGGAATCTCTTCATCCAGTCAGATAGTCAGGAATGTCCCTATAACAGGTTTCTTTCCCTCAAATGAGCCAGAAATGCAACCTGCCCCACTTCCCTTTAAGGATAAATCTTTGGTAGAAGTACTTTAATTTCTTTTGTTGTTTTGTTTTGTCTTGATTTTTGGAGACAGGGTTTCTCTGGGAGCCCTGGCCATCCTGGAACTCACTTTGTAGTCCCAGCTGCCTCAGTTTCCCAAGAGCTGGGATTAAAGGTGTGTGCCTCTACTGCCCAGGTGTGGTTATCTCCCATATAAGAAAATCTCAGAAACCTCTAAAAGCCACTTTGGAGTCAGGTTTTTCTATTTTTCATTTTATGTGTATGAATGCCTGCACATATGTATGTGCACCACTTGTGTGTGCAGTACCTGCAGAGGCCAGAAGAGGGCACCAGATTCCCTTCCAACTGGAATTAGACCAGTTGTGCACTGCCATGTGGATGCTCCCAGGGGGTCTCTGGTAGAGCAGAGGGTTCTCTTCATCGTTGAGCCATCTCTCTAGGCACAGGTTTTTCTGTTTTTATGAATCACTTGCCTTAAAAAAACAGATGTGGGTAGTTTCACTATATTCCTCAGCAAGGCACCAGTACAGCTTGGACACTGATTTCTATAGATTCCAGAGTAAAAGAGGACAGGAGGGAAGAACCACAGGACAGAAAGTGCCGGGTCCCTGGTGCCTGAGGAATGGGGTATCCTGGCCTGCTGGGAACTGAGCATCTAAAGTTACGAAGGTCAAGAAGCCTGTGGCACAATTCATTCTCCCGGGCAGCGTGCAAGGTTGGCAGAGGGAGTACAGTTCTTCCTAAATGCACAGTGCTTATACTGAAGATGAGGGGAATTCTCCCTGAGGAAGGGTTGTACTTATGTGCAACAAAGCAGAAAACATGAAGTCTTGCAACAAGCTGGACAAAGGCAGCGTGATCTAAGAAGGGCAATTTGTGCCCGTGAAGACTGTGGCATGATTCCTGCCAAATTCCCAGGCAACCTTCTTGGTTAAGTCACCGGACATGGAATTTCTGATGTTGTAACTTTCAAGGATTTGAACAAATAAAAAGTAAATATGGATGGATTAAAAAGAAAAAGGCAGCCGGGTGGTGGTGGCACACGCCTTTAATCCCAGCACTTGGGAGGCAGAGGCAGGCGGATTTCTGAGTTCGAGGCCAGCCTGGTCTACAGAGTGAGTTCCAGGACAGCCAGGACTACACAGAGAAACCCTGTCTCGAAAAACAAAACAAACAAACAAACAAACAAAAAGAAAAAGGCAGAAAGTCACTGCTTTTCAAAGCCCTTTAGCATCCAGGATCCTTGTCTCCTGCCTGCCATGGACACTGCTGTGCATGGAGGCACAGTTTAAATCCCTACACACACACCTAGACCCAGCATTTACAGGCTAACGGAGGAGGACCCTTGAAGCAAGGAGTTGGAAACCAGCCTGGGCAACATGGGAAGATGGTGTCTCCAAAATACCAAAGATGCACGTGTTTAGTCTGAACTTACTTACTAATCCTTCTAAATCCCAGCAGTTCAGGGATGTCCAGGGCATTTACTTAAGACTGTAAATGGGAAAAGGCCAAGGAAATGAGTCACACAGACACTGGTGAAAAGAAGGGCACACCTTGATCCTGCAAGCTCCTTGCCTACATGCTAATCTGTATATAACCACAATGGCACACACCGAGACCCCAAGCCAGGAAACACTCTTCAGTGTCAAGACTGTGACTGAAGGTGAGGAAGGAGTTGTTGCTGATGGGAAGAGGCTAAGGAAACACATCAACTAGATGTAAGGGTGGTGGCTGGGGCTACATTGTGTGCTGTGTAACAGGTCCGAGGGGCCTTTGGTGGAGGCTGGGTGAGGTCTGAAGCTTGGTTATCGGCAGCATATATGCGGCAATGTCCTGATGCTCATCGCTACAGTATGATTTGATATGATGCATATGATGACATGATTTGACGATGGCTAAGGAGGCTGAGTGAAGAGTGTAGCAGGATATTTATTCTGCTACACTGTATTGGCAGTGGAGCTTGGTGATTAGGCAGTAGAAGAGGAGGTGGAGCTGGGAGAGAAAGAGTGGAAGGGGAGGAGAGGAAGGAAGCTATGGAGAACCACGAATGGGTCAAAGCTGTCCTGGGTAGCAACTTCTATCAAAAGGTTAGATATTGGGTAACAACTCTAATTGTGTGGGCATCTTGTTGATTGAGCATTTCTAAATATATAAATCCTTTAGATAATCATTAAGCTTTAAGAGTCTTATTTCTACCATACTGTGAGGATGGCAGACACTGTCTGGGGTTCAACCGAGCTTTGTGGATGCAGCATGGGGGATTGGCAGAGCCATCCCCCATGCTTGTGTCTCCTGGGAGCCAGGACCAGCGGATGTAGCTAGCCAGAGCCCCGGTCAGGGCCAAAAAGCAGCAGGAACATGGCAGCTGTCCAGGAACAAGCAGGACCAGGCACCATTTTCCTATACAGAGGAGGATCTGGGTGTTCTTCGTTTTTGCAATTTTTATATAATTCTAAGAGGATTTTAGAGCCGGGCAATGGTGGCGCACGCCTCTAATCCCAGCACTTGGGAGGCAGAGGCAGGCAGATCTATGAGTCTGAGGCTAGCCTGGTCTACTGTGGAGAGCTCTTGGTGCTTCTTCTAGAAATTTGGTAAGCATTTGTCACTGGGCTTGGACAAGGAAGTAGGCTCAGATAAGAATATTTACATTTGGGCTAATGCAAAGCTCAAGGTAAACTCAGCTGAGGAATGTGTGGCATTCCTTTTCATTAGCCTTAGAAAAAGTGACCAGGGGCTTTGTTTATTGCCTTGTCTGGTTACTTTGTCTTTGATCTAAGAATTGACTCTATTCTTTTCATGTGCCTAGATTGATATAAAAGCTGACTGGAAAAAAAAATAAACCTGCTTCAGTCTTGGCACTGGCTGGAGTCATGTTATAGTGTTGTCTAATTGTCTTTTTGTTTGCAATCCTCATTCCCCCAGACCCCGTTGACTGACTGAGCTGGCTCGATCAGTCTACAGAGTGTGTTCCAGGACAGTCAGGGTACACAGAGAAACCCTGTCTCTGAAAAACAAAATTTCTTTCAGATAAAAGAGGAAAGGGTTCATTTTCGCAGTCACTGGCAACCATGTGTACACTAGGCAAGTGCTCTTTCCCTGAGCTACAGCCCCTGAGTGGACAAAGGGGTTTAGAAAGTCGTCGGGAAGCTATTCCTTTTTGCCCTGTGAGCCCAGGGAAGGCCTGTCTCCTGAGCACTGAAGTCTGGCAGGTAGTGAGGATGTTTAGGACCTGCCTGTGAAAAGGGGGTCTTCAAGGCCAGCTCTTCCTTTGGTTGCTTACCTTGTCCCACTTTTTCTGTCACAGACACTTAGGGTTTTTCCTGGGAGCTGTGACAGGGGTCTGGAGAGACGTGCAGCCAGCATCATGGCACTGAGATGTAAGAAGATCTGCTTCCTTCTGGTGGTTCTGAAACACAAAATGCACGCTCAGTGTCTTCTACTTGGGAGTTTAGTCAGGAATGGCCATCTTCTTCTTCAAGTTATTAAAGTTAACTGACTAGGCATAGGGGAGATATTTAGAACATGGCACCGGGTCCTGCTTGTTCCCAGGCAGCAGCCACGTTCCCACTGCTCCTCGGATCTGACCAGGGCTCCAGCTAGCTTGATCCGCAGACCCTGGCACCCACGAGATGCCAGTGTGGGGGATGGCTCTGCCAATCCCTCACAGTACCAGGTAGAATGAAGAGTCTAAAAGCTTAATGATTATCTAAAGGATTTATATGTTTAGAAATGCTCAATCAACAAGATGCCCACCCAGAGTTGTTACCCAATATCTAACCTTTTGATAAGTAGCTACCCAGGACTGCTCTCGAACCGTGCGTCCTCCTCCATCGTTGCCAGCCTCCTGTTTTCTCCTCCCCTTCCTCTCCTCCTCACTCTGCCTACCTCTCATACTGCACAGTAACCAAGCCCCACTGCATATACAATGTAGCAGTTGCAGGAAATTATCCTGCTACAACTAGGCCCTGCTCAAGGTATAGCCTCATGGGATGGAAAATCGAAACACAAGGTGTACCAACAGTCACAGGACAACCATGGATTAGGGGTCACCCATGTGTGACAGGCAACATTGAACTAGGCCAGTGATCCTCAAACTGGGCTATATAGCAACTATGGAGGAGCTGACTTGGGGACATTACGAGGGGAAGGCATATCTAGCTTTGCGACATCATCTGTTAAAACTCATTCCCAAGAACTGCATGGCTGTTTTCAAAGTCACGAAACTAGAATGCTTTAAGGAAGTTTATAATTCTGTGTTGGCCCATATTTGTGGCCGTCCTCAGCTTTACGTGACCTACAGGCCACAGGTCTGACGCACCTGGTGGGGAGTCCTCTGTGAGAGCAGCGTGTAATCATTTTACAAGCTCTTAACCACTGAGCTGGGGGTGGGGGGCTGGAGGGTGGTTTCTCACTCAGTGCTGTTCTGTCATCAAGGTTCCTGACATCTATCACACCACCCATCTGAGGTGATCAGGACACCAACCTTCACTCAGCGTATCCCCATCCTCTGCCGGTGGCTTCTGCAGTCCCACACCGCACACCACTCGGCTCAGTACGCCACTTCCTCTCCCCCAGCCAGTGTGAGGCTGTGAGATTGAATTAGTCAGTAATCCCTAGAAGCTAGGCCCTAGAGCAGAGACCGTACCTACAAGATGACAGCAGAGACTCCGCATTACAACATTTAAAACATTAAACACACACGCGCACACACACACACACGCACACACACTCCAGGCAGGGTAGTCCGTGCTTGCAATCCTAGCACATGGGTGGCTGAGGCAGGAGAATTTTAAGTTGGAAGTCAGCCTAGACTATACAGCAAGTTCCTCAGTAGCCTGGGCTATAAGACTCTGCCAATGGGCTGGAGAGATGGCTCAGCAGTTAAGAGCACTGACTGCTCTTCAGGTCCTGAGTTCAAGTCCCAGCAACCACATGGTGACTCACAACCATCCGTAATGAAATCCGATGCCCTCTTCTGATGTGTTTAAAGACAGTTACAGTGTACTCATATAAATAAGATAAATAAATCTTTAAAAAAAAAAGACTGCCCAAAACAACAAACTCCCAAAACCAAAACAAAGCAAAACAATAACAAAACCAAAACCTGCACGCAATGAGAAAACGAAGACCACACGTACACCCCTCATCCTTATCCATTTAAGGTTAAATTTAAATTGACCTACTTCAACTACGTCCTACGTCACTTGGTGCCACCTAAGGTCCTACTCAGCACCATGGTGATTAAATATCACATCCACTGATCAAACCCAGACAAGACTAGTAGTAATAAGATGGCGGACTAATCAGCCAGACCAATGCTCATCACAGGAGGGAGCTCCAGGTATTTCCCTCCTGTAATCTTCAGGAAAGGAAGAGAAGTGGAGGTCTCCTCAGCTTGTGTTATGTTTCCATTAGTAACTGCTGGTCAGCATGTATGTTGGCCCCTCCCTGCTCTAGTTAACAGTGACACCTTCTGGCTGAAGGGCTAAGAGGGAAGACTGGGAGAAGGTGACCCACATGGCTGGAGCTCGGGGTCTCTTGGTCTTTTGCTGGCCCCTCCTGTTAGTATTCTGTCTAAACTCCACCTCCACAGTTACCTGGCAACAGCCAGGTATGCTCCTCCCCACAGTTACCTGGCAACAGCCAGGTAGACCTGCCCACTATAAAAGGGGATGCTTGTCCCCTCCTCTCTCTCTTGCTCTCTTGATCTCTTGCCTCTAGCTTCTCTCTGTCCCCTCTCCCCTTCCCCCTTCCCTTCTCCCTCTCTCCACATGGTCATGGCCGGCCTCCACTTCTCTCTCTCCTCTCTCTCCCTCCTCTTTCTCTCTCTTCTCTCTCTCCTCTCTCTCTCTCTCTCTCTCTCCCTCCCTCCCTCTCTCTCTCTCTCTCTCTCTCTCTCTCTCTCTCTCTCTCTCTCTCTCCACCATCTTCTCCCATTTCTCTCCCCTCACCTTTGCCCTCTGCCCTGAATAACCGCCACCACCCCAACCATTTGGTCTGGTCTTGTCTGTTCTAAGCTGCACGTGGAAATCTAACACCTCCTTTGCATAACTGGTTGTAATTTGACACACCCATCTTGTTAATGATAAGATCCCAGCCTGGAGGAATCTCGCCCTAGCCCACCTCAAGCAGAACTGACAACCAGCCATCTAGGCCGTGAGGCCAGTATATTAGTCAGTTTTCTATGACTATTAATAGGTACTCGACACTGGTTGGGGTTTGGCCCACATTTCTGTTCTAAAGTTAAAGGTGCGCATATAGTTATGGAGTTCCTGCTGGTGGAGTACCAAGTTGTTATGAGACATCATAAGCCAGGAATCAGAGACAGGAACTATACTTTCTTCTCTCTCCTTCCTTTCTTCCACTTTCTTCCTTCCCTTCTTTCCTTCCTTCTTCTTCCTCCCTCTCTCTCTCTCTTTCTGAGACAGGGTAGACTGGGGTGCCATGAACTCATAAAGAGTTCACGCCTGCCAATCATAAATACGATGAATAACAATTTACATCCAGGGAAGAGAAATCTCCCTGAGAATCCCCTTCTTTTTTCTTTCCAGGTAAAATTGAATCACCCGTGATGCCTGCTATTAGAAGTTCTAACCCAGATGGACCAGAAGCCAGGAGCCTCGCCCTTACCCTCACCCCCTACCTTTTCCCACCTGCACAAGGTCCCCTGAAGCTGGGCAACTGCAAGATCCTGCTTGGCAACTGCAGATAGACTCAAAGCAGTGTACCATATCATCTGAAGAATAGCAGGGAGACCATAACTCAAGCAGTGTACCATATCTTCTGAAGAATAGCAGGTTGCAGTCCTCCTCTCCCCCACGAATAACCAGGACCCGCCAGTCGGGTCAAGTGGCACCCAGACATGGGGCTCGAGGCACGGACCCATCCGGACGGACCCTCATTGAGAGGATGTGCGCACAACATCAAGATTGAGCAAGACAGAGATCATCGCCCGTGACCTGTCGTCCACGGAACCAGGTTGATGCTGCCATCAAGAAGGCAGTTGAAGTTCATTACCATCAGCTGAAAATTGCAGAGGATCCAGAAGTGACTCCGCAGGAGACTGACACAGCTGTCAGCTCCCCTGCCTCCCCCTACGGTCGACCCCTAGACTTCCACGCCCTCCAGAAGGGTTCCTGGTATGCCTGGCTTTGCCCTCATTTCTCTCGCTAGAGAGCTTGGCCTCTTGATCACCACAACAAAAATTGGCTTTTTCCTAAACCAAGGCCACCCTTGATATGGCCGCTAACATTGGGGAGCCTTCCTTTATGACAATATTACACCCCAAACTGACAAATGGTTGGTAACTTGAACATTTACAAGAGACTAGGATGGCTGTGAGTTAGCCCAATGATGGGATTATTGTAGGTCCACTTCCCAGGGGCCCACCCAATGCAGCCGAAAAGGAGTGTGTGGTGCTGGGAGTGGGTGCAGCCTACATGGCCTAAGACAGGGCTCTCACCCTCCTTTCACCCACATCGAAGTCCCTTAACGTTGCCCATCGTCGACAGCCTAAAACCTTCGACCATCGATGTGACTCGTCTCACATCAGTGTTTTGGGGTTGTGAACTTGTCTAAGACCCCCCATAATTAGACATCCAAATTCAAAACTCACATAGTTGGGATTGAACATAAGACGCCTTCTCTAACTAAACAGAGAAGGGGGAGATGCCAGAAGCCAGGACCCTCGCCCTTACCCTTACCCCCTACCTTTCCCCACCTGCACAATGTCCTCTGAAGCTTGGCAACTGCAAGATCCTGCTTAGCAACTGCAGATAGACTCAAAGCAGAGTACCATGTCTTCTTAAGAATAGCAGGGAGACCATAACTCAAGCAGTGTACCATATCTTCTGAAGAACTGCAGGTAGATCATAATTCAAGGCAGTGTACCATATAGACCATGACATGTTTCAAGGCACAGGCCAAGAAGATTTTGTACTTTTCCACCACCTGGACCCTCTTACCCCCTCCCCTTGTAAAACATGCTATAAAAAAAGCATTTCATGTTCAAAAAAAAAAAAGAAATTAAAAAAAAAATGTATCATTAAAAAAAAAAAAGAAAAAAAAAAAAAAAAAAAAAAGAGTTCACGCCTGGAACGAAGGGTATTGGTCTCTTGCTGGCTCCTTCTTTGCCTAACTGGCTAACTCCTCACACCCATCTTGTTAATGATAAGATCCCAACTGGATCTTATCCTACATCTATGATGCGGGAATCAAAGAATTTGTCAGCACACCTGGTATACAGACTTCTTATAAAGCCACCAAGATTCAGCCTAGGTGCTCTACCCGATGACATTCCCAAAGTTCCCTCCTCTGCAGGTGAAAAATAGTTCACTTAGGATTGGAGAGGCGGCTCAGTGGTTAGAATTCCAGTTCCAGAGAATCCAACACCCTCCCTCTTCTGAC